TATTAAAGTCTCCTCGTATTATTACATTCTTCTCTCTTCCTTCCTCCATTATTTCCTTTATCTTTTGTCCTATCTCCCTTCATCTTTCCGAGTTACATACTGAGATAATTATCATTTCCTTATCCTTGCCTTTACCTTCTATTTCGGAAACCAGTAACCCTTCCTCTTTTTCCTCCCCCAAAATGTTACTTTCTTTTCCCCAATTTTTCCTTCTACCTATCAAAAAACCTCCCTTTGCTTTTTTTCTCTCTCTTCGCTGGCCTATATGCCCACCAGTGTGTGTTAGGTAATCTTTCCTTAAACCCTTCCCATCCCTTTTCTTCTAACCATGTCTCACATAAACTGATAAAATCCTTGCCCTTTATCTCAGTTCCAAAAATCTTTATCCTGCCTCTGTATTCCTGCCACATTCCAAAAAATTAGGCTTCTTCCCTTCCTCCCCTCCCTCCCTCTTCCTTTCCCTCTCTCCCCTTCTTGGCTTACATAAAATCCTGTCTAATCTCCCTTCCCCCTCCTTTCTCTTTCTCTCCTTTCTTTCTTTCTCTCTTTTTTCTAGTCTCTCCTCCCTACCCCCTCTTCTCTCTCTCCTATTCCTCTCTCTCCATCTCTTTCCTCCTTTTCTCTTCTCCTATCCTCTTCCTCCCTTAATGCTTCTTTCATCTCCCTTCCCTTTAGTTCCCTTAATTCCCTATCTCTATCCCTTCCTTTTCTTCTAATTATTTCTTCTTCTATTTCCTCCCATTTTTTCCAATTTCCATCAATCATCACTCTCGCAAAACCCATTTTCACCGTCTTTCCTTTCCTCCTCTCCTCCCTTACCCATTTGCCCATTTTCTCTTGTACCTTCCTTTCCTCTCACGTCAAGTCGTTCTCAATAAAAATACTTTTACCTTTCAGTTTTCTCTTATTTCTCATTATCTCCCTCTTCATCTCCTCTTCTTCCAGACTTACCACTACCACTTTCCCACTTATACTACATCTCTTCACCTTTATTTCCACATCCAATTCTTTTTTTATAAATTCCTCTCCCTTTCCATTCGTTATTCTGTCCCCTATCTCCCACCCTTTTATAACAACATTACCTCGCCTCTCCTCCTTTTCCTTTTCTACCATTAATTTCTTTATCTTTCCTATTTCCCTTTCACTCAGGCATTCACTTAACCTATCCACGCTTCTTATCGAACCATACCTACTACTCAATCTCGTTCTGCTGCTTAGCCTACTAGACGCCGACTTTCCCATTCCTCTCTATTTTCTCCTTTTCTTTCACTCATCTCTCCTTGCTTACTTTCTTCTATAAATCTTTCCGCAATTATCATTCTATCTTCTAATTCCTTCATCCTACTCTCTCTATCTCCTTCTTCTATTCCGTTATTACCTGTCTCAACTCCTTTCTTATCTCCTTTCTTATCTCCTCTCTAACCTCCTCGTCTCCTAATCCATGCGTACCCCTGAAACTCACCTTCCTCTTTTGATCTCCTTTCTCTATCACCAATTTTCCTTGCTTATCATCCACTCCTCCTTTGCCTCCTCTTACCCCCTTTCCTCCTCTCCCTGTACTCATATCTCCGCTCCGTCTACCTAACCTCTCCGCACTACTCACTTCCTATTCTGCCCCTTCTCTACTTATTCCTTATTCCCTCTATCCGCCTTTATTTTTATCGCTATCTTACCTCCTTCTGCTTCTTTTCCTACCTTCCTACTTTACTCCCCTATCTTATTTATTTTACAATCTCTATTTTCTCTCTCTCTCAAACTCACGCAATCATACACTCGTACGCCATGTAACCAAGTCGCGATTGTATATTATAAAAACTCACATAGAAAAAAATTTCTTTAGGTTTAATATTCTTACTTGTTGATTTTGAGATGTTTCATTAAAATACTATATTTTTACAATATTTCGTATGATTTCCAAGAAATTCATGTACGATTAAAATAAGATATTCTCTATACTTAAGGGGTTACATCTAGTCAGTAAGGTCAAAAAATATATTTTTGAAAAATTTCCATTTCCTTTAGTATAACATCTGAAGAATATTCCCTGAAAGTTTCATTCAAGTTGGCTCAAAATTGAGGAAGCTACTCTGTTTTGAAAAAGTACAGTGCATTTAGCGCAGGTAGCGCACAACTGTTTTCGAGTAGCCACGCCCCTTTTACGGAGATTAGGTCAGGTCAGGCATTAAATATAATGATGAAATATGCTTGTACTATTGCATACATAAGGTCTAAACAGTTACCGTTAGCAAACTGAAAGATATTTAAGACAATACGTCAGTATAACAGGCAACGTCGAGCAGTAAAGTTTGTTATTTACATCTTAATATTTGCCAGTTTTCGATATCATAGATTCACATTGAAAAGTTACGCGAAATACGAGAAATTCTAAACAGTATAAAAAATCTAGGCCAAAGAAAGAAAGCAGCATTTCAAAACTAAAATATCGGAGAGCGACGAGAGCAGTTTTAGTGTATCTGTGAAGAAACTGAAAATGCAGAAAGAAATCGTCGTGCCGCAAGATAGTTCAATAGAATACAGAATTTTAAATTTTATTACTGTATTTTCGACAATTGCTACCTTTGTGAAGTGCGAAACTTGTAATAGTGATGTGTGCAAACTGTAACAATGATGTGAAATTTGAAACTGCAAGTATGCGAGGATTTGGTTTCAAAATTATAGTGATATGTGATAATATGCGCTTACATTTTTAATGAAGGTTTCATAACCTTACTACAAATTATCGATACCATAGGAGTCTTCTGTGGCCCGTATGCGCACGCTCACGCAGCTAAAGAGAACGATGAGTGGATTAACATCGCCGAGCAACGAGCGAAAGAGATCAGAATGCGTCGCAGACAAGAGCAAATTAGCGTTTTAAAGGCTTTTTCAATTGCAGAAGGTCTATTTTATGGGCATGGAATTAATGATTCAATTTAAGATAAAAAATAAATATTTCATCACCGTTAAAACTATACCGAAAATTTTAAACGCGTTTTTCTCGAAAGCATGTTTTTCAAATTAGCTTGCAACATAACTAAAACAAATTTTATTCGATCCACTTGAAATTTTTACAGCAGCTGCTAAATTAAATTCTCTAGAGAAGTACATATGATTTTACGATCGATTAATAACTTTTTTAATAACTTATAAATACTTTTCACTGAATTTTGGGTAAAATGGAACTTTGTTTTCAAATGTTCACTATTTCTACAAAAATCAATATTTTAATATACAGGGTGCACGATTTATCTGAAGACATTGAAATATCTCGAGAACTATGCATTGGATAAAAAGAAGTGGTTAATGAAAGTTGTTAGTCTCGAAGGGGGACATCCAATGATACCAAACTCGACCTCCACCCCACCCCCTGGGGGTGGGGGTTGGGGGCAACTTTGAAATCTTAAATGGAAACCCCCATTTTTTATTGCAGATACGGATTCTACGCTACAAAATACGTAAATTTTGTCCGAAATTTTTTTTTTGGTTCGTGATAGATGGCGCTGTAATCGCAAAAAATTATATTTCCGCAATTCTCCAGAAATGATCATTGGATTGAGAAATAAAAAATACCTGTTCAATATTTTTTAAAAGAACATAATAAAGTTATTCCCCCCCCCATCCTCTCGGGGTAGGGTGGGTGATAACGTTCAAATCTCAAATGGGGACCCACATTTTTCATTGCAGAATTAGATTGTACGTGAAACTTTTATTGAAACAATTTTTTCATCGTGATAGATAGCGGTTGAATTTTTCCGAGAAACTACTTTTAGCGTTACACAGGAACAACGACGAGGACGTAGTAGTTTATGTTCCCTTCGGGTGCTTTTTAATGTGAGTCCCCTTGCCTCTCACAGATCAGGGTGCTTTTTAATGTGAGTCCCCTTGGCCTCTCACAGATCAGGGTGCTTTTTTAATGTGAGTCCCCTTGCCTCTCACTGTTCAATAATTAGAGTAAGTGTTCGAAATTTTACCTTCAACTTCAATACACTTATTGATCCTTTTTTCAAATGACTGTACACAGATAGAAGCATATCTGCGGGAGTTTCAACGCAAGCGTTTCTTATGCGTTCTACCATGTTTTCACGAGTTGTTGCACTTGTTGATAAACCTTATCTTTTAGGTAACCCCACAGAAAGAAATCGGCGATGTCAAATCAGACGACCTAGCAGGCCAATTAATCGGGCCCACCTCTGCCAATCCACCGACCATTGTAATCACGGTCTAATATTCCCTGATCATTTCTGGAGAATTGCGGAAAATATAATTTTTTGCGATTACAGCGCCATCTATCACGAATTAAAAAAAAAAGTTTCGGACAAAATTTACGTATTTTGTGGCGTAGAATCCGTATCTGCCAATAAAAAATGGGGGTTTCCATTTAAGATTTCAAAGTTGCCCCCAACCCCCACCCCTAGGGGGTGGGGTGGGAGGTCGAGTTTGGTATCATTGGATGTCCCCCTTCGAGACTAACAACTTTCATTAACCACTTTTTTTTATCCAATGCATAGTTCTCGAGATATTTCAATGTCTTCAGATAAATCGTGCACCCTGTATACGTGTTGTACTTCTCTAGCAAATTTGATGTATGTTATAAAAATATTTTGCTTTTTGTCCTTAGCGAAAGTGTACGGTATTTCTATTGCAAGCCGCGGAAGCTCATGGACCAAAAAGCAGTTTCACTTGCACAACTCCAGCGTCGCCATCTTAACGCAAAAATATAAAATTATTTTGTGTAGCTTAAGACATGCACATTAAAGGCCTTCAAACTGACTTTTCACTTATTTTATTATTTACCTACAAAAAATTCCCAAAGTTACCCTATGCTTTCAGGCGTTTACCTAGATTAAAAGGGCGTTAACCCCTTAATAACTTCATTGTTTATTCGTATAAATTATCAACAAACTAAAAAATGATGATTGATTTCCTTTGAAATGAAAGATGAAATGGAAAGAAATGAATATTTCCTAAATGTTACGTCTATTAATTTAGTTTTCTTTCAGGGCATAGTGGGTGGCATGACATTGTCGTTGCTATATTACAGCTTTAGAGAATTACCTCTAGGTGATGCTACCACAATCATCTTCAGTTCGCCAGTGATTGTAATTACTCTTTCTTTCCTTTTTCTAAAGGAACCTTGTGGTGTTCTGCGAATAATAGTAGTTTGCACTCTCTTTGGTGGTGTTGTTTTAGTTGCCAGGCCACCATTCTTATTTCAGGTAATCAAAAATTTCATAGAAATAAGATTCTACTACAACAACTGAAAAATCAATTAATACAATAATTAACAATTAAAAGCAAACGCGTTAAATATTTCATAATTTTTATGAAGTATTTAACGCGTTATATATTTATATTCTTTTACTTAAAGATTGTTTAGAATTATTGTTTAGATTGTTTAGAATTTATTAAAAATAACCGATAAAATTGAAAGTTCTGAGTTAATATTTTATCTATTTTTCGTGGGTAAAATTAAGTTTTCAACCGACAAAGTGTTAAAAAAATTAAATTTATAGATATTTAATGTCACCAGAAAATAAGATTACATTTATTGTTGCAAGCAACGTTTTGATTTTTCGTTATCTTCAGATGCATCATGCCGAACACTATAACCTTATGGGATATGTATGTGCTCTCCTGGCAACCCTCTTTACAGCTCTCAATATCTTGTTATGAGAAAATGTTCGGAGATACACTACTCCATTATAGTTCTGAATTTGTCAAGTTGGTCATTTGCTGCCGCTGTAATTTTATATCGTGGTATCTGGCGGTTATGAGCACAAACTAAAATTGCCACATGATTATTTCACTTGGATCCAAATCTGTTGGTGGCATGTACCGGCCTTATGGGGCAGGTATTAAGTAACGAAGGCGTTAAAAATTGAAAGTGCAGGTAAAGTCTCAGTCACAAGATCACTGGATATATTTTTGGCGTATATGATTCAAGTATATCTCTTCGGCGAAAAACCTACATCGACTAGTGTAATAGGCGCGGTTCTAATTATTTTTCTGTCGTTTGTATGGGTTTCGAGAAAGAAAAATATATTCTATTTGCGACTTTATTCCCTAGTCAATTAACTGTTAACATTGTGAATAATCAATGTCGACTTAACAAATATAAGCAATGTTATTAAATATAATTATCTAATTACTTGTCCTGTTTCTCTTAAATAAGCAAAAATTATTAAATTTTAATCGGTAAAATTTAATTCTTATTTTCATATTTATATTTTCAAGTAGTAGTCACTTTAATAAATGTAAATATTAATTCTTTTTATATTCTTGTAATAGTCATTTCAAAAATCAAGAGAAAAATATGTTAAAAAAGTTGAGATGTTTAGATTAAACATGTTTCTGTATGTAAGATAAATTAAAATAATATTTATATTATTGGGTGAGTGCAAAAGTTTGTGCGGAGTTTCAATAGATGGAGTATAAGCGTCGTAAAGTGTTGTCATTAATACTTCCATCTACATATTATATAACGTTGGAAAGGTGACGTCTTCAGCTGTTATTAAAAAAAATCAATTTTTTCATACAAACTGCTTCGAGAAATATCACTTTAAAAATGAGTATCGATAAGGTGCATTTACGGCATGTTATGCTTTACGAGTTTCGGAAGGGAATAAAACGTTACTGCAGCCGTAAAAACATTCAGGATGTTTATCAGGATGAAGCACCAGCTTCATCTGACCAGCTCATCTGACTGTGGAAAAATGGTTTGCTAAATTTCGGCGCGGAGAATTAACCTTGAAGACGAGCCACGCTCTGGTCGACCTTCTGACATTGATGACGATGTTTTGCGTACTTTAGTGCTCAATATAATTCGCGAATTTCAACAGAAGAAGTTGCTACAGCACTAAACGTTGACCGATCAACCCTTTTCGGCGTTTAAAAAAGATGGGATTCGATTTGAAGCTCGATATATGGGTGCCCCATTTGCTGACCGAGAAGAACAAAATCAAGCGAATTTCTGCAGCGTTTCTTTACTCGGGCGACTCAATAACGAGTCGTTTTTGGATCGACTAGTGACGGGCGATGAGAAATGGGTCCTCTACAATGTTCAGCGCAAACGGACATGGAAAACAATCAGGTGAGCATGGTACGCAATGCCAAAGGCCAGTTTGTACCCGATGAAGGTGATGCTCTCTGTTGTGGGATTGCAAGGGCATAATCTATTTCGAGCTTCTCCCCGCTGGCGAAATGATTGATTCGGACAAGTACTGTCGCCAATTAACCAATCTGAATCGAGAAATAAAAGAGAAACGTCCGATTTTTGTCAAATCGCAAGAGAGTCGTCTTTCATCACGACAAACGCCAGACCACACGTTTCGAAAAAGACGCTGCGCAAATGAAGAGCCTGAAAATGGGATGTCTTAACGCATCCACCGTAATTCTCCTGATATCGCACCATCGACTATCACTTGTTCCGGTCATTGCAAAATTATTTAAAATGGGAAAAACTTTGACCTTCTTTAAGGCCTTAAAAAACGGCGTCTCTTCGTTCTTCGAGATCTAAACCGCGCAGTTTTATTGATCGAGGCATCCGTATGCGTCAGAACGTTGGGAAAGATTATAGAAAGACGATGAGAATATATCATTGATTGAATAAAGATTTTTGTTTGCCTAATCACTGTGTGACTTTTACTCACAAACTCCGCACGAACTTTTGCACTACCCAATACTGTAATTTCTGCTAAAGAATATTAAAACAAAAATAAATACAATTACTAATACACATTTAATATATAAGGTAGCTCTGGTGTTTTAGATTAACCTAATTAAAACTAAAATTATTCTATAGATATTTTCTAGACAAGGCATAATCTTATTTAATTAATAACAAACGTTGAACATATCAAGAAAACTAAAAGCCAATTAAACTGCGAC